GGGGGGGGGGGGGGGGGTGGGTGGATGGATGGGTGGGTGGATGGATGGATGGGTGGATGGATAGGGGATAGATGGATGGGTAGGTGGATGATGGATGGATGTGTAGGTGGATGATGATGATGAATGCATACATGAGTGGATGGATGGGTGGGTGGATGGGTGAGTGGAGGATGGATGGGTGAGTGGAGGATGGATGGGTGGGAGGAGGATTAGTGGATAGACAGAGAATGGAGGATGGGATGAAGGGGTGCAGTCACTTTGTCCATTCAGTAATTAAGATTCCTTCGAGGCGACAGCTGTAGAAATTGGAACTCTGCCTTAAATGAGATTTGGGGGTTATTTATGCACTTTGCCTCTCCTCCAAAACCAAGAACATGAGAACCCCAAGGGTCTGGGGTGCCTAAAGCAGTCCACAAAGCCGCAGCCCCATCCCCATCAAGGGTGTGGAAAACTTAAATGCTGAGAGTGGCTCCAGAATCCGAGGACATGTGACCAGAGGGACTCTGCTGAGGAACTGGGTGTGCACAGCAGTGGCTTCCTGCCCCAGCGGAGCAGAGGCCAAACTGCCGGGCTGCTGGGAGCTGGTCACCACCCACACAGACAGAGGAGAGGAATAGCCTGTCAAAGGAACGGGATTTCTCCCCGATGCCAGGGGCCTGTCCCAAGCAGTTCTGGCCACAGGGGGTGCAGCCGGGGCTGGGCAGCCTATGGTAGGCTGCAGTGGGACTCACAGGGGCCCCTGGGCCTTGGACGGGCTGGGGCCTCGGGGTGGTCGGCAGAGGAGGCATGCACAAGTCAGGAGAGCAACATACACTTACGGCGTTGTCCCCCAATATGTCCAGCTTCTTCATCAGCTCTGTGACCAGGATGTCCTGGAGAAGAGAGACGGGGGCCATGCGGGAGGTGAGTGCCAGCAGGCATGGGTGGGCGTGGGCACACTCGGGGCACGGGCGGGGCGGGGCTTACCGTCACACCTTCCGCCTCGCAGTAGGCTTGGAGTGGGCTCTTGCCGTCCACGAAGGGGGTGTGGTGGAAGTTGATGGCGGGTGACTTCCTCTCCCTCTCCTGGACAGAGAGCAGGGCTAGGCACATGGGGGCGGTGGCAGTGCCACCTGTCCCTCCCTCCACGGAGGAGCCAACGAGGCCACCGACCGTCCTCAACAAGTGTTGTTAAAATGAAGCGCGGGCTGCAGAAGCAGCAGCCGCAGGCGCCCGGCCCC